GCATAAGGGGGGGGGGGGGGGGGGACCTGTTGAGTGCCCCTTTTTTTAGAAAACCAGAATATATCTTTGTTTTATAAGAGTCACTTACATGCTTTACCTTTGAGCCAGTCAAGTCTCTATGATAATGTAGTGTCTCGTGTTTGCCCCCATCCAGGAGTGCTCGCCATACGCCGCCCACCTCTATGACGCTGAGGACCCGTACACACCTGTCAGAGAGCTACCCGGCCTTTGCTTTGGCTACTGCTCTGAGTTTCATGGCAAATGTGGCCACGTGGTTAAATATTTAACTGAGAACCAGCGGCTGCAGGACACCTCTGGGCGAGATGTGTTCACGTTCTGCAGCATGGTGGATCTGTCCGACCAGGACTACTGCTACCCCAACGTTTTAAAGAGCCCTGACCTCAACAGCCACCTGGGACAGGTGGCGGAGGACCGCAAAGGGTGTCTCCAGCTGTGCCTGACAGAGGTGGCCAACAACCTCAGGAACCCTGTGTTGATGCTACACAGCGGCGACGACACACATCGCATGTTCATCGCAGAGCAGGTGGGCTTTGTGTGGGTTTACCTGCGTGACGGCAGCCGGCTGGAGCTGCCCTTCCTGGACTTGAGCGGGGAGGTGATGACCACGCCCTGGCTGGGGGATGAGAGGGGCTTCCTGGGCATGGCCTTTCACCCCGAGTATCGGGGCAACGGACGCTTCTTCATCTACTACTCTATCCAGGTCAACAGTAAGCTGGAGAAAATCAGAGTCAGTGAGATGAAGGTGTCTGCCCACGATATGAATATGGCTGATCCTTACTCAGAGAGGTATGCAGAAGGGAGTTTTTCCATTTACTTTTTTTATAGCATCAAAGTTTGGCTGCAATTACCCTTTGAAACTCATATAGAACTATACTGTCATTCACGCCCTGGGCTGTAATTGCACCAAAGCTTGCATAAACATGTTCTGAGCTTAATAGCGTAGGGTCGACCCAAGCTTTTCAACAGGGCCCTGAGCACCACTTAAATGTTTTTATCCAGTTAGGAGTTACTGCCAGGGGCGTGTCCAGAGAGGTAGGGGGCTTAAACCTGATTGGTCACCCCATTATCCTTTCCTCTTCCACTCCACGCTGTCTGTCAGAAGCTGTAACAGGCTCCTTTCTAAAGCTAGAGTGAAGATACTGCTATCATACGAACCTAGATGACGCATCCATTGTCATGCTAGCATGTTGGAGGCAAAACAATGCTTAAAAATTAGGCTTAATTTTGTCAATGGAAAAAAAACTGACATCAAGGAAAAGGGAAGATGTCTGAATGAAAATTTATCCTATGGGTACCAACAAGTCTCCCCTTTGTGCTAATTCCATGTCAGTTTTTTGCATGTGCTATATTTCTGCATACTGGGGTCTATAAACAGTGTTGGAATTGCATAAATTGGGAATAACTGGAAAGCTAAGACACATACTTTACATGCCACCCCTGCGTAAGTCCACACCCACGTCAAAGAAGTCTGGAAATAAATACTTAGGTCATCACAAAAAATAACTTATCCTAAGTATAATTGACATTTTTGGTTTGTTTTTCGGCCTCCTACTGAATTACAGGGCTTCAAAAGCTGCTTACTTTACTTAAAAAGAATAGTTTGCCAAGAGTTATAAGACAAGATCAAACTCATGTATGTGCGGTAAACATGAGGCTACCATCATCTTAGCATGAAGACTGGAAGCAAGGGAAACAGCTAGCCTTTGCTTTCTTCAATAGTAATAAAACCTGCCTACCAGCGTCTATAAAGCTCACTTATTAACTATTATATACGCCAGACAACCATCAGAGACTTGCGAAGAAATACATCGTAAAACCAAAACTTGTCAATTTTAAATGTTTTTAATACAGATAAACAAATCAAATAGCCTATAGAGTGTAAATTGGTGAACTTTACAGGTCATCGTTAGCAGATTTTGGTTACCTTTGGATAGAGCAAGGCTAGCTGTTTCCTTTTGTTTTCAGTCTTTATGCTGAGCTAAGCTTACCAGCTGCTGGCTGTAGCTTTATATTAAACAAACAATCAGAGTGGTATCAATCTAAACATCGAACTCTCCACCAGGTTAATAATCCCACAAACACTCACCTCTTACTGTTTGAGTAAGTAATTACCTCTAACTGATGAATCATGACCTAAAGACATACTTAAGATTCATGGCAACCAGATATTTATGTCTGAAAAACATCAATATCACCTCCAGTGAATGTATTCTTACTGAACTGAATCCGTTTGACATTCAGGGTCATTCTAGAGATCGAGGAGCCCGCTGCCAACCACAATGGAGGACAGCTGCTGTTCGGTCTCGATGGATATTTGTATATCTTCACCGGAGATGGCGGAAAAGCCGGCGATCCCTTTGGAAAATATGGCAACGCACAAAACAAGTAAGGCACTCAGGTTTCTTTAGGTTTGGATGCATTCAGACTACTTGGAGAGGCAGAAGATGGACATTTCGACCATTTATCTATTACTTTTATCTATTTTAACCATTTCTTTACTTTTAGCTATTTCACATATTTTTCCCAAGTAGCCTAATGGATAAATATTTGAAATTAATTTGAAAGTCATTACTTTGAGCTATTTCAACCGTTACCATTAATCTAGATAGCTATCTATCCAATACTTGGTTTATCCATTTCCCATCACCTTTATATAACTTCAACAATTTATCTATTACTTTTGGCTAACTATTGGAATTGTTTATCCACCGCTATAAGTTATCAATTTCAACCATTTATCGATTAGTATTAAGTATTTAAATAAGTATTTTAACATTTTATTAATTGTCGTCTTTTATCTTTTTACTTCTGCTAATAATTTCAACCACTTTCAGCTGACTGGTTTGACTTCTTTACTTGCTTCCTATATAGTTTTCATGCATTTTCAATTGCAACATGTAACTGTTAGCATTCTGGTGTTACAACTGACTCAATATGCAGTTTTTTACTTTTCTATTAGTTGAGCTATTCCACAATCTTTCCACATACTCCCTGTCAACTATAAAAGTACCATCACAAGTACAAGTACCCCTGGTTGGGAATCGCTGCACTGAAATGCCTCTAAACCCCATTTTTTTCCAACCCAGGAGTGCTCTGTTGGGAAAAGTACTCCGCATCGATGTTGATGGAAGTGACTCCAGTGGGAAGCAGTACAGGATCCCCCCTGATAACCCATTCCTCGGTGACCCCGACGCCCGGCAAGAGGTGTACGCATACGGAGTCAGAAACATGTGGCGGTGCTCTGTGGACCGCGGAGACCTGGTCAGCCGCTATGGCCGGGGAAGGATATTCTGTGGAGATGTGGGTCAAAACCGCTACGAGGAAATTGACATTATTGTGAAGGGAGGAAACTATGGATGGAGAGCCAAAGAGGGCTTTGAGTGCTATGATATGAAACTGTGCCACAACTCCTCCTTGAGTGAGTATTTTCTGTAGATGTGAAACTTTTCTGATGATAAAAATCTATTTTCTGTGTCACTTTTTCCACCACCTGTTATTTCTGCCATAATGAGGAATGTTGTCAATCTAATTCTGATGCTTAGTTAAATTCACTGCATCTTTCTCTGCCACCACAGATGACATCCTCCCTATATTTGCATACAGCCATCATGTTGGGAAGTCTGTGACAGGGGGATATGTGTACCGAGGATGTGAGTCACCCAATCTGAACGGCCTGTACATTTTTGGAGACTTTATGACTGGGTAAGATTGTGTTGGTAAAGCCAAATAGTTTCCTCCAACTGTCGGGTAAAAACAAAAATCTGGATTTTCTGTCAGCTTTTCCCTGGAGAAAGAAAAACAGACACACAGCTGTTGTCCATTTTTGAATTTATTTAAAAAAAACCCATGTATGTTTTTTTAATGGATTAAAGTCACATTACTTCCCCAGAGTTACTTAAATTCCAATATGATCATATTAATACTGATATATATATATATATGACTACATCATAAATATTTCGTTTGGGCTCATACTTGTTCTGACTTAAAAACATTATCTTATACTCTACAACTTGAGGTTTGACAAGGTGTTTTATGTTTACACTCAGGCCTTTATTTGAGACTTAAGACCAAGGACTTGACAATGATTGAGGACTAAAGCAAAGCTTTACTAGACAAACTGAGGAAATAATGATATACAAACAAATTGTTATACTTTTCATTCATCTGACTTGTTCTGATGAGATAAACTCCATCCATGTGATTGAGTTTATCTCAGGTTAAACTAAGTCTTGTCCAGTCTAGTATTTTACTGCCACAGTTTGACAAAATGTAAACAAAATAAAAAATTATTTGAATTCACTGAAAATCAGGATCATCCTGATGTATCAGACATACACTGACCAGCTATACTTCATTTTGATCCACAAATGATCCATATTTAGGATTTCTTTTCAGCGGATACGATAACTGATAATTTCCCATTTCTGTATTTAAAAAGAAGTCCATAACCTGTTGTTTTTACACCCCTGATGACAAAAAAGCTGAGATGTAGTGAGCAAAGATG